CTGGCCGGGGGGGCCGCTGCTCGGGGACTGGCTGGGCATCGGTCGGCGGGTGGTGAGCAATTGTACTGTGCATCACTTGTTTTGTGTATTATTACTATTATCATATTATTATCATTATCATTTTATTTCAATTATTAAACTGTTTTTTATCTCAACCCACGGGTTTTTCTCACTTGTGCTTTTCCAATTCTCTCCCCCATCCCACCGGGTGGGGGGGAGTGAGCGAGCGGCTGCGTGGTGCTTAGTTGCCAACTGAGGTTAAACCACGACACTTGCCCAAATTGAGCAGGTGTCTAAAAAAGACTGGCATTGGAAGGCATTTCTAAAAAACTTTTGTTAAAGGACAACATTCTGGAAAGTATATGAGCAGTCATCAAGGCTGTTTTGCTTCTGATTTTGGATCAAGATGTTCCACCACACTATATTTGCTGTTTCAGCAGGCCCCACATGCCCCATCCTTTCTTCACAGATGGCATTTATGGCAGATCTCGAGAGGGGCAGCTGGGTGAAAGTTATCAGATTAGTCTCAACAAAGGGGAATTTTATAACCAAGATTTTTCTAAGAGACCCATGCCGTTCTGAATGGCGCTGTGATGAAAAAAAAGAGGCCAGGCCCAGAGCAGTAACTTTTCAACTCAGCCTAGCTGCAGCCAAAACAGAGCGTGAGAGCAGCCCCAGGTAACTTCATCTGATCATGAGTAGAGACAGCTTATTCTGCTAGAAAATCTGCAGAGGCAGAAACCTCCACCAACGGGGCTGTAAAACCTTATGCCACTACAGCTGCTTGTATAGTCAATGTCTGACTAAGGCCACAGCATAACAGCTGGGATAACTATATACTTTCTAAGGCAAAACGCTGTTTGGAATACTGACTCTGTGCGAATGAAGTCCAGAAGAAAAAGTTTTGTCCGAGCAAAGCAGTTTTTGCACACTAAATTTTCAGCCCTTCTCTACTGATAACCCAGTCACACTCTCCTTCAAAATCCTCATTTGTGACATCATGCCTAAAATTCATCTATCTGATCTTACAGATAGGGCATGCCAGTGTATTTGTTCTAGAAAGTACTTATACACATTAAGGGGTTGAAATGAGTAAGTAATAGTTATTTGCTCTTATTCATGGCTGCTGTATCTTCAGTGAAATCAAATCAATTGCAACAGGACTGAATTTGACCCTGGCCTGTATTTGCAGCATACACCTGATATTAACCTTTGCTATTCTGTATTGTATATTCTTCAGGCAGGGCACCATAAGAAGATAAAGGTGGAAATGCAGCACACGTAGCCACACTTTTGCCACCTGTACCCTGACACAACTAGCAAGTGTTTTGAAAAAGCCGTGCCAAGGGTTTCATCGCAGAGTATGAACCAGTCCAAAAGTATCCAGAGCCCAAATACATCCCTGTGTTTTTCCTTCTGTTGTCATCTGCACTAACTAGAATAAAATTAGCACATGCAAGCTCATCTCTGCTGCTACCCCATGCACACTTTGTTTCACAGGTACACCTGTAACTGGCAAGCACTCGTTCCTCTTTTTGAGGATACTACTACTGAGACAAGTATCTGGCTTCTTTTCGCAAAGCTTTCAGCTTGGACCTCTATTGGATAACTTTTAAACAGGTATTTCCAAAAATATGGAGTATCCTTTTTTTGTACAGAATGGATATACTAACTATGGGACCGGAATATTTGGAAAAAGAGATAAAACTAAGTCTAAATATTTCACTCTCTCCTAAACACTCATTTTTGAACCAGATGGGCAGGCAAACTAAGTGCTTGCAGCAAGCCTCTGAGAAACCTCCTTTCTCAGTTCTGGCCTCCCAGCCTTCCAGTCACAGAGTCTGGTCCAGCTTTCACAATGCATTCATTCTGCTCCTGGGAACCTCTCAGCCCATTGAAGTTTTCATCCTCATCACTGCATGGGAATATTTGTGGGGATATTCCTTAGCTGAGCCATCCTTTTACATTTTCTGCTTAGTTTCTTTAAACACTATCCTCTTGTGGGGGGTTACTTGTGAAGTTGGACCAAACAGGCAGAGTATCTTTATCTAAAAAAAAAAACCACACCAGAATTTCCTAAGCCCATTAATAAAAACTACCCAAAACTCCTACTACAAACGGGAAAGCTTAATATTGGCCACTAGGAGTAACTTGTCACAGAAAGTATGTGTGATACAGAAAGTCTTTTTAACAAGATGGCTGTTGACACGGCAGGTTTTTTCCCCTTCAAGAAAACCAGTTAGAATAAAAAAGCTGGAAAAATATCTTTAGCATCTCTCTGATCTACTAAAATCTCACTTGCAGAAACAAACAAAAATTCTTTAACTGACTCTTAGAGCTGGCATCACGTACACATAATAAAGGAATTCCAGAGGCTTCTACACTCGCCAGCAGGCACTAGCTCTCCTTTCTTTAAACAACTTTGTTAAGTCCTGAAACTACTTTTCAACCTCAGAATAAAAATCCAATATTCTTCCTATATATAAAATCCTTGTGCTGATTTTTCTGAAGACTGATCCATCTCTTACTGGCATATACAGATCTTAAGTTCAACCTGAATTTATCACAGCTCTGCTAAATACTACTTTCCGCAACAACAACAAAAATCCTGCCATTATGCAATGCACAAGTGACTTAAAGAGTCACTACCTTAATGCGTACAAAGCAGTGCATTTAAAAACTTAGCATGACAGGGGTGGCACAAAAGCAGCAAGTGTTTCTGCTTAGGGTACTAGGCAATAGCAGAGCTAATGAGCCATCTCCAACATTTTAAAGACTCTGCCTCAGTTTAAAGATCATGTAGATCTGCTTCAATTTAATGCAAACTGGAAGAATTTGGCTGCATCTATCTGAAACACTCTTTAAAAAATGGTAGTATAATGGACAAATATATATTTTGGCATGCAAGCAGGCACGTAAACGTTTTTAATCAGGACATCTTTGTCAGAGTAAGGAAATAGCGATTAGGCAGTGCTGAGGAACACTGGTGCAATCTGTCACATTCCAGCCCCAAGGAACTGAGCTGACCAGTGAATGAAATTACAGTATCATTATAAAGATGTGCAGCAAAAACAATCAGTGCCACCCACACCATAGCAGAGCATGCAGTTACTACTACATTTTGGCTTACCTACAGATGCAGACCATCTCTTGCAGCCTGGCCTTCTGCTCCCTGCTGATTACAGTGCTTTTACATTGACTGCAGCAAGGCAGGAGCTACAGCAGAAGCGGGTCAGGCCAAATTATGTTCTTTTTACAATGTTATTTATCAACGTGTATTTCCTTGCTGAGGCAAGTACCTCCAAAACGTCATTAGAGTACTGAACAAGCCCATGGTCATGGAAAAATTGCTTCAGTACCACCTGCTATAAAAGATACAGTAAGCAAAACAGCAATTCCAAATGCGGAACTAAAACACAGCAATTAATATAGCTCGTCTCCCTTCCTTCTGGACGTACCCCCAGGACCATTTTCAGCAGTCCTCAATATCCTACATCTTCAAATGTGGGAGCTTTCCTGATCTTTTATTTATGACACTCATATTTCAGGAAACTTACCCATTCACAAAGCAGCAGAAATGGCTTCTGCAGCTGTATCTACAGTGATGACTAGCAGTTGAGAACTGTCTTTACATGTCCAAGTGTGTTCTGGTATCTGCTTTTCTAAGTTGATTTCAACATAAATTTAACACAGGATGTCAGTGTCCTACCTGTTGAGCTTCCTCTCCTATTATTGCCCACAACATGAGCCAGCAGATAGTAAAAAGCTGAATGTTATCGTAACTTCCTCCAGAATTCATCCATGCCAACTGCAACTCAGACCCTGAAAAGGGCCTTCACTCAGATAGGGAGTAATTTCCAATTTTTTAAGCTTTCCAGAGCATACTGCCGATATCTTTCCTTTCCTTGGCCTCCCGGGGAAGAAGCTGAGCTCCTGGCTTTTATGTGAGGATTATTTTTTTAATATATATACATAAACAAGCAGTGCTCAGTAAAGGGAGGGAACTAATTGAAAGTTACCAAGTTAGGCCATTTTAATTCAGAAGACCTTCATCAAGCCAGAAATTTTTGATGGAGAAAGACCGTTTCACTTGACCACGTCACATCCCAGCACCCAACCATGACAAGAAGTACACAGAGAGAAGAGCAGGCAGTCGCTCTCATTTTGGCATAAAGAAAGCCGGTTTCTACAGGAGAATAGAGACCTATAAATTCTCTAAGGCAGGACAGGGCAGCCTTGGAGTATGCCACATTAGCAGCCTCACAAGACAGCTGGAATGCTGGGACAATGTCACCACAATGAACCAGATGCTGCAAAATGAGAAGCCACCTTCTGCCTCCACTCTTATCACCTCTGAAGAACAGTGAAGGCCAGGGTCAGGGAAGGGAGAAAGAAAATGGAAATTCCTCTCCAGTTTTAACTCATGCCAGGGCACATAAACCTGCTGATGATTTCATGTCCTCTTCGTCTGCATCATGGAGGATGCTGTAAAGCAGGGGATAAAGAGGCAGCATTCAACATATACACTGCAAACTGAAATTACAATAAAAGCGAAGACACCTTTACTGAACAATGACAAACAGAAGTCCCTGTATCATCCTGATCCCTGTATCAGTTTATGATACAAAGAAGTGATCCCAACAAGAGACCTCAAGACTGCAAGAGTCAGGTTTGTTTTGTTTTTTTTTCAGACAAGATAGGCATTTAAGTATGTGCCAAATTTGTAACTTGACCATGTAAGTATAATTTCAATAAACACATGTTCATCAGCTATATTAAAAAATAAACCTTTAAAATAGATACAATCCTCTAGGAAAAACATTTATTCAACTAATTTACAAAGTAAGCCAATTAAGGCAAAATATATTACTTGGAAGTAGGCAGGCTTTCACTGGGTACAAATATGAGCTGGCTTAACAGTATATTATATATAAAAATGTCCTTTGAAAGCATCTAAGAAAGGTAAAGGCAGAGCAATATAAGCTGAAAATCTGCTTCAAGGCAAACAAGAAGTATTTGTTTATTGTTCATTTCTTAAAAAAGTATTATTACCAAAATATATTCTTCACAATTACTTCCATATTTCTAAATAAAGATTTAAGATTGTGTGAGCTTGGATAGAGGGCATTTGTAGCCATGAAGAAAATCAGACACCACTGAAGACTCATATGAGAAACAGTGAGCTCCTGACATCAAGAAAGCATTTAAGACTTAAAAACATTTAGAAAACCCAGGATAGCAAGTGAAACACATCTCACCATTTTCCACATCAAATTGCTGACAACCACAACCTGATAGAAGAAATTACATAATTCCATATAAAATATGAAGTTTGGAAGCACTGGAGTAAATTATGTTGTTGAAACTGCTGAGATAATTTCATGCGTATGTGGTACCTCATCTAAAACCCACTGAAGCAACTTGAAATTTGTCTAGTGTTTTAATTGGACATGAATTTCATTACTGTTACATAAAAAGAAGAAAGATGCAACATGGAAAATAAGATTTCAAAATTATTTAGCAACAACTTCAACTAATGGGGCATGGATTTGTGCTCTTCTTCAGCAGCTCACTGTTATGTGTTGTAAAAACTACTCAGCATCACTCCTGAGAACTTATATACAGACACCAAACCTATGAGGTGTTAAGTACCACCTAAGCACAGGCCCTAAGAAAACATCTAATACAGAAGGTAGTCTCTCTGGATTGAAATGCATATATATGTTATGCTGTCAACTTGTTTATATTACTAATATAATAGAAACAGCTAAACAATGAACCCCTTCTTTAAAAATGTATACTAACTAAAATATCTCAGCAAATGCCTAGTAAGTTGTCAAATAATAGCACATTCCACTTTACAAACTGTAATGCTCTTTGTCCCAGTTATAAATACATGTTTGTTCTGATTTCCTGTTTGTGAATCATATTGGAAATCATATAGTAGTTAAAAATTGCTCATTTCCACTATTGGAAATTACCTTCACTTCTTAAAAAGTAAAATACAGTTTACAGTTAGATTACAAATCTGTGTTGTATGCACTGAGAATTAGAGTATGTAGCTTTCACTTCAATTCTAGAATCAAAATCAGTATTCCTTAGTGTCATGGATCAGCCTTCTTTCAAACGGTCCTGGGTGGTAAGTGTTGTTTCTGCTAGAGCCTTGGCTGCACTGTAGATCATCTGTCGACGGGACATGCCAGTGAATACCACGTGCCAGTCAGTCCTGTTGACGTTCAGTATACTCTTCTCAAGCACTTCGCCCACGGTCACCAACAGGCCTGACCATCTCAGATTGTAGTCCTGAGGAGTGAGACTCTTAGCCTGTTAACATTGAGAAGTGATTATTGAAAGAGTTTGACATGAGTAGTTTTGTTTCTATCTTCACCATTACCAACTTTCCTAAGTAATCACTCTTACATAGAATCATAGAATCATTAAGGTTGGAAAAGACCTTTAAGACAATTGAGCCCAACCGTTAATATCAATAGGACTACATGGCAAATTAAAGGGCATCAGAATCCAAATTTCAGACTGCCCCATAATTTGCCTAGCCAATTATACTTTTTGGATTTGTAGGTATCACGATCCAAATGACATCTGAACAGTATAAAATTAAAATATGATGCTTAAGAGAGTAAAGCATTCTGCCATTACCAGGACATAGTTTTCTCTTTTGAAGCAGCCAACAGATGGAATCAATAGCTATACATATTTATACAATTACTCTTACCCTCCAAATGTTTTAAAAACAGTTAAAATGTCCCTCTGAAACAGGCAAGTAGCTAAATACAAGAAGAAAGCTGAGCCTGGCAGAAATGGAGGACTCAGCTATTTGCATGAGATCAGAGAGGGATTACATACTGTAATTCCCTGAAGTTGGAAGCAGAAGGGAAACAGTGGGGGAAGTATCACTGCATTTATCCCATCTGATGCTCATCCTAGGCAACCACCTGTGGCCATTGTCACATACAATGAAGGGTAGAAGACTTTTAACCTCAGTAAGACTGTTCTTAGTATCACTCAGTTCCTCGTAGCATCACACATTGGGTCCAATTCTTCATTCAGATTTTATTTTGACAAATATTCAAGTTAGTCTGTTTCTAGTGCATGTACAGCAGATCAAAGTTCATTAGAGTGTCCCAGCCTTCCTAAAACTACAGTCTTGCAGCAAAAACGGCACAGAATAGTCTAAGTTTGTTAGAACATGCAGTCTGCTCCAATATTGAAATAACTTGTTTTTATCAAGAGCTACATAAAAGGCAGATTTCTTAAGCAAAGGAACAGGAAATTTTCCTTATTAGTCAGAACATATAGGCAGTAAGAATTAAATAAGAGTGCATCTAGCTGCAAGGAGAGACTGAATATCTGATTATGATATCTCCATTATGATCCACAATTGCACATAACTTTATAAATTAATTACTTGGTGTTTTTACTGCTAAAAATCAGCAAACTTCAAATAAAATAAAAAAACCCAAACCACCTTGCAGTAGTTTCCCATCATGGTTGCAATTTCTGGCTCAGCCAAAAACAAGATGACACCTGGTCTCTTAACAGAAAAAGGGTCTCAAAACAAGACCTCAAATTCACCTTTTTACCTCCTCAAATCAAGCAATATTTAGAGTTATGAAGAGCCATGAGTCTCATATTATATGCTCAGAAAACTCTATGCCATTGGTGAAGACATTAACAAAAGAGTATCTATTCTATACAGAGTTTTACCACTATTTCCATTACACAGAACAATAAAACACACAGCTAGCAAGAATTTCAAAGAACATAATTGCTTTTAATGTTGCCTCTATTAAATCTTTTGTACTGTGGATAACAAATCACATTGCCTGTCCAACACATACTTCTTCTCTGTTCTTAGGCTGAAATACAACTATACAATTGCTGTTTTTTTTCCTGTTGTAATCTAGATTTTGCTTAAAGATATTGGACTGGATGTATACAAACATATGTTTCTTGCACACCCCTGAGAGAAACCAACTTTGATTCTAGAAGAGACATAATGGGAACAAAGGTAGCAACTAGTGCATGCACACAATCAAAAACCCAATGATTCACCACCACGCATTATGTGTAAATTAACTGAAATATATAATAGCAAGACTAGGAAAAACAAAGCTATATTTTGCTGTTGATGTATATACAAGAACTGTTTTCTTTAAATAGGAGAGCAGAATTTGATCTAATTCAAGTTTAAAGGCTTACAGTTCCACTGAATCTGTACTATATACCAAGCTATACACTACATGGGTTGCATAAAAGTTAAAACAAGAACGTTTTCTGCTATTGCAAGGTAAACACTACTTTTCAAAGTTACAAAGTATGCTTACCTAAGAGAAAAAAATACTCAAAAAGTTAAGCTATTACCTATAGGTTTTAAATGACAAAAATAGAGAATATTCTGTGAAACAAAAATTAAAGATGCCTATTGTGCTTCACGTTTAAAAAAAAAATCATTTAGTCCATACCAATGCTCCATAGAGAATGTGACAATTAAAGTAGTAACTTCACATTGCTGTGCGTATTTTCACAGCATCATAGAATGGTTTGGGTTGGAAGGGACCTTTAAAGATCATCTAGTCAATGAAGTTGTATCTGCTTAATTAATATTTTTTTCCTGTAGCTTCACGTCTTTATCCACTCTTTCTGAAAAGCATTGTGGAAAACTACAGAGAGACAGAGCAGTATTTCTCCTTTTGCCACTCATCAGCTTTTCAAAGTTGTAAGAACTCTGAAAAATAAGAACTAAAACCAATCCCACAAATGTTCACTCTATTGGAATCAGTACTACCAAAAAAAAAAATTAAACAGTTACTATTTGTTTTCTCGAAACAACCCCTTCGGGATCAAACCCCAAATAGTTTTGTTTTGAAATTCTTCACAGAAACATTTATTTAAAAAGAATTTTCAGACCAGAGTTAACTAATGTATGACTCCTATCTGCTGTCAGGCAACATGCAGCGACTGGAGTTTGGAGTAATTCCCAGTGCGTGCTCAAAGAAATGTAAACAATCTGATGAAAAACTTCTATTGGTGATATCTAAGAACTGCATAGTACTGCATTATTTTCCCTGGGATGAACCATGATATTTCCAAGATTTAAATGTTTCAATTCCAGAAATTTTACATCCTTGTTAGAATAGCACAGTCAGAAGAGGAAATCAGTCTTGGCTTTTAGGTGAGAGCCTACACATTCATGGTAGAATTAAGTCCAAGTACAGATCTGAAGAAGGGGTATCCTTTATTTATTTATTAGGAATGAGTTTTCAGAATACTAATCAGTACAGTATTCTGTCTGTTTGCTGGTAATTAACAATTACCGAGGCTTTATACACTTTATTAAAAATTGAGTGGCAAGATCTCAATTTATAAACTTGTGCCTAAATGAAGTGTAAGCTACTTCACTAAATTGCTAACATGCACATGTGCACACAGACACTTCACTATGACACAGTTTTGTTGGCATTAGATGAAACTCCAATACATATGTGAAATAAGTTAAGGAAAGGAAACCAAGCCTTCGGATGGATAAGGGTGCTTACTGCACTTCCTTGGTGCAGCTTCTTAGTGCGTTACTTAAGCTGCAGAGACCTCCTTCTGCACCTGAGGAAGAATGAGTATTCTTATTTTATCTATGTAAAGATTCATGAGGGTTAATTTTGAGTCACTGAATCCGACTGATGACAATATTTCAATGATTAAAGTTATATTTCCTTTTTGAGGCAGTACTTCTTTGTGGTTAATTTCTTCTTGGTTAATATTTCCTCTTGCTTAATTTCTTCTTGAAATATTTCTTCTTCATTAATAGAAAAGTAAAACTAGTGCTTCCAAGTGCCATGTATTGCAGAATGAGACTCTTGATCAAGAATTGCTTTGCCACAAATGCCTAAAGATTTTTAGATAATATGTCAACATGATTCAAAAATAATTTATGAAACGAGGAGAAAAACTAAAACATTCAAGTGGAGTAACTGTCAGTAAGCATTGACATCATAAATGAAATTAAAACTTAAGTCTTATGTCTCAACCGTTAATCCAATGTCGGTAAGAAAACAGAAAACTCACCCGCTGAACATATTGCAAAGGCACTGGTGTTGCTTGGGTAAAAGCTTCCAGATGAATTCCATGAATTGGATCCTCAATAATCAGACATCCAATGTCAAACCACCTGCAATGACATGCAAGTTAGAGTACTGAGTTATCACTCAGTTGAAAAACAACATGTTAGCAGTTGAATTACGACCATTTTACAAACTCTACTACAAATGTAGTAATAATGTAATAATGAGTTTCATCAAAGTGTTCTAGTATTTTTCAAGTAAAATTTGCATATATCAATTTTTATATATATAAAAAATTATCGTGCATGTGTATGCATGTAAAATACATAATATACATTAAAATATATAAAATACCTGAAACTTACAGCTCAAAGAAACAAAGAAAGCTGGTGGGGTGGGCATGTGTGCAGATATGTTGTTCTGCCCATATTTATTATGCTAGAGTTTTCATTCAATCTTTGAAAGAATGTTTCTCATTAAGATAACCTTCCCTAACAAAAAAAAAATAATCTGTTTATCATTCATGTTCTATATTCAGAAGATTTTTTGGTATGTCTAATCCTATAACAATCATTTAAATGATTTATTCAGAGAAACACCTCTGCACCTTTCAGAAAAGATGGTGCCTGCTGTAGCAGACACAGTAAAGGCTACTACTGAAGCAGTACCCGAAATGGTTCCCTATCTAGCTTGCAAAAACATTATATCATTTTTCCTGATCAACAAACTAACAACACTGACATGATCCAAACAAAACCGACGGCAATTCATCATCACTACCTCATTGTATTCAATTCCTAAAACAGTTTTACAGTTGAGTTGCCACAGAAGAAACATACTCCAGGGAAAGCACAAACACAAAATCAAGGCCAAGAATCATAGAAGATTTAAAAAGGAAAATATTATTGTAGTTGTTGTTTCATATATATTATATAAGTGTCTACGTATAAATTGTATTTTATTCTTTAAAGTGTGGGAAGGAAGGATGTTGTTAGAAATGCAAGACTCCAATTTTAAGAAACGACTGGCTGGGCCACAGAGGCTTCCTGTTAAGAGTTTAGTGGAGCAAGACAGGAAGAAGTACTTCACTTGCATCATCTTCGTAGCGGGGAACAGAGCACTGGAATTCTCTGTGATAGAGGACTACCTCACTTGCAACTATGAAAGACTGTTGAGAAAGCTTCATGGTTAAAGATAACTTGCTCCCAATTAATAAAGGAGTTAGAGTCTAAAGGGTAAAACACACATAAAAGAGTTTGCAACCTTTTCTGCAAATAGTATTCAGGACATGCAATTGGAAGGGGAAGTAATGTCCTTCAGCTGTCTAATGGACAACCGAGAAGTTTAGCTGTGAGCAGTGACTGATACGTTAAGTGTTAGGTGTAGGGCCCTTAGTATTGGTGGGTGGTTACTTGGAAACTCCTTTCCTTTGGACATGTGTGAGTATGGTAAGCAACATCAGCAAAACACTGACTGCATCCTCCATATTAGAACTTGTAACACCACAGTGCTCACTTCAGAATAATAATTAATCAATTACTAGCACTGACACCTATCATTTCACTGCAGAAAAAAACAAGGGCCAAAAATAGTTCAAATGTTTTTTGTAACACCATGCAAGGAAGCTTTCAATGTTGCCTACTGAATAAAAATTGAAGCATGCATTAAGTTATTTTTTGTTTCTACTGTAACTAATATGGAAGATCAAGACATTCTTGGGACCTGTAACATTTCGACAGAAGAGCTAGCATTCCTTTCAATAACACTGCAGTCCTGGGTAAGCTCTTTCATGTTGAGTACTTTAAGCAACGTTTTCAGATTCAGGAATGAGTAAATTCAAAGGCCAGGAACAGCAACTATTTTGAAACAGAGATCTCATTGTCATAATTACTCCTTTGTGGAAATACGGTAAAACATCTAAATCAGACTAGATGGAAATAAATACTAAACAAAAATTAAAACACTTCCTAATTCTATTTACTTTAGAAAATTCACCATCCATCTTCCACTAAGGATACTAAATGTACCTTCAAAAATGGAGCAAGAGCAGAGTATGTGTCAAAAAATAAATCAAAGCCCACCACATGAACAAAAATGCAAACATTAGAAAAAAACTATTTAAGTTTGCATTAAGAAAAACATATTGTCCTAATGTTTTGGAAATTAATTATAAAGCTACTTCAAGACCTGTCTGTCAAAAAGCATGTTATGAAATCAAGTAGTAATGTATTTGAAAACACCATTGTTACGTCTGTGCAGTGCAAATTAAAAGTAGTAAGTACATTCTTTGTGAAAGGAAAATGGATAATATATTATCTGATAAAATCATATTACTACAAATGCCAGAACATTTCCTAATATACTTTCTGAACCGAACACAATTTCAGAGAAAGAGAAGAGAGAGTGTGCACACAAGAGTGAGCAAACTACTAGCCAAATTCCAACTTTTACAGCTCCTTAATTTTGTCAGTTCAGTATAACTTCATTGTGTTTTTAAATGGTGAATCTTGAAAAACCTGACAAGGATTTTGTATATTAAAGTCTCAAGATGTCTGGGCAAAAAGCTGAAGATCATCACCAAAATCAAGTCTGCCAAAGCAATACTGAAGACAGACTCTTTCCTTTCTTCTGCTCAGAGTAACACTGCCAGCAACTCTTTATAGGCCCCTTTAGGTCAACAAAGAATATTCCTTCCCTCCCTGCCCACAGAATATATTTGAAGTTCTCACTTGTCAGGAAGCAATTCCTCAATGAAGTTTTCTACTGATACAGCAGGCTGTTTTTCATGTATTATTCCTGTCCGACGCAAGCTGTCTATCCTTTCTTGGGCTCCCTAAATGGTAACATAAGCTGTTAGACAACATTTTCTTTGAATCACAACATAGTACAATACTTACAGATGAATGCAAGAAGAACTCTAGAACATACTTTTCAAGTTAAACAGAAAATATGAGAGATTTTGAAAAATTACTCTTATTTCAATGTTAGAAAAACAAAAACAAAAAATCATTAAAAGCCATAATGGAATCCCAAACACTAACAAAAACTATGATAAAACTAATTAAATATTTTGGGTTTTTTTCCAATGAAAAAGACCTAGATTACCATGCAAGGAATTCCTAACCTGTAACTGTGCCAAGTTTCACTGTTAGAGCATCAGTATATATTTCTGTTACTCACACTGACATTTTTGCAGCTTAAGATTTGTCGGGTTTAGATCTTTAAGAGCTTTGGACCAACTTTGTAAGACCAAGGGAAAGAACCTCTTTGTTGTGGTACCTATCCAGCTAAAATGTAGGAATCATTTGCTCCAAACCTGTTATCACTCTGAAGTTGTAATAGAAATATTACTACTACTACACTGCAGTAGCTAAACAGGTAAAGGAACATATACATTATCCTCCTTTACCTCAATATAAAATTGTATCAGCTAATATATTGCTATGCGTATAGGCTTTACTCAGCTGTGAACACTGCCACAGCAGTTAGGAGAAAATACTTCTGTTTTAATGAGTAAATTATTTGCTTCCATTTAAGAAACAGAGTATTAAACAGCTGTTTTCAAGGTTTTTAGTTATTGGCCAAGGAGGTGGTTGCACCTAGATACACCTGACGAACATGTACATTTTTAAAATCTGATGAAACAACCTTTGCTAAGCTTTCCTCTGGGCAGCACAGCTGTCTGCAATACTGCACAATGAATTCTTACTTTTTTAAACGTAACATAGATCTGTTCGGGAAGATCCCTGACAAGCGTTGATTAAACTACCTTTGATCTATAGAATCAGTGTGGAGACAACTCAGTCTCAAAGAGTCTCTTTTCATTTCTAACATTCCCAACATGGTGTGCTAGCAATAGACTAAGAAGAAATGCCTGATGTACTTTGAAACTACAGTAATATCACAATGTATGCGAGATATGATGGCAACAAATGACAATGTAAGAAAACTGACATAAATATTCTTCATTTGCTGTGAATGTGTTTGCAAAAAAAACCCAAAAACTATTTCAACAAGCAGCTTTAAACTGATCTAACGATCCAGATGGCAATACCAAAAAAAAAAAGGAAATGTTTACCTGTCCCACAAATTGATCTTCTCATTATGGAAAATGAGATTCTTCTGGGTGAATGTTTCTACACTCTCTCTTTGCATTGGAAATACTTTAGTACTGTTATATATTAACTTACTTTTAAACCTGCAGCATAGCCCACAGGTTGGGGTGCGATGTTAGACTGTGCAGCCTCTCCAGTAACAACAGCCATTCCAAAGACTTCTTGAAAGGCATCTCGAATTGCTGCGACTTTTACCTCTTTATTAGAAGTAACCACTATGTCCAGTTCTCCCCCAGTTTCTGTAAAATACATATATATATGCGCATGTATTTTTCTTCATTTCCATTATAAGCTAGTTCAAATACATTCCACATCTTAAGAGTATGCTTCAGTTGGTTTTCTTTCTCACGCACTGTACAAAAGTTCTTTCATGAAGCAGAAGTAACAAGTTAGGAAGTGAAAGTTAGACAAATAGCTAAGTGATTCATGGATGAAAGACAGTTAATAGGAACTGATGGTTGTTCAGCACCTGAAAAAAAACCATACCACTCATTTAAGATGACAATTCATGGATTTAGGAGAATAACTCAGACATCCTTTTCTAAGGACGTTTTGGTGTTCTGGGAAGTGGTAAGGAAAGTTGGTGTGACACAGAAACTCTTCCTTATGAAAGGGACCAAGAACACAGATGCAGTTCACAAAGTCCAGTGAACAGCAGTCAAATTACATAAACTTTAGAAGAAAGGCTCGCATTACTTTCTAGTTGTCCTTGGACTGTGAATTTCAGTGTCATTTTATTGCCGGTCTGCCTCCCTACAGCTTTATCCTGTTTTCAGATACTAATTATCTATGGAACCAAGAAGTTGTAAATATTTCTGAATGATTTCCATATGGCGGTATCTCCATAAGGAAGGATGAGTTTTCACTAAGATTTTTTAGAATAAAACAAAACAGTTCATGAATTAAAAGAAATCTAAAACTACTGCAAAAGATTGATGAGCTCAATTATACCTCACATCTGTCTTATCACAGCTGGATCATTTTTATTATCAAACTTAATTTATGTAAAAACATCTCATAAAACTTGTCCCTGCTGTGACAAGCTTTTTTAAGAACAGCTTAAACTTTTTTCAAACACGGACTATGACGTCAGAGAAAGCTGCATAAGTAAACTGCATCAGCAAGCGTAAAGGACAAATTAATGGACAACACGTCCACAAGCAAGCACTACAAATAATAGGTATGGGCATGCCTCTTGTCATCCTTAGCCCAATGGCTGTGGATGATGGAGGAGTACAAGGAGAAAGGACTACAGAAATCACCAGATCTACTGTCATTTACCATACAGCATCTCCTGTTGTTTCTGCTGAAGACAGACTATTGAGCTAGATGAACCACTGGACTGGAGCAACTCTTCTATGAGGAAAGACTGACAGAGCTGGGAATGTTCAGCCTGGAGAAGAAAAGGGTCAGCGGGATCTTATTGATATGTACAAGTATCTGAAGGGAGGCTGCAAAGCGGATGGAGCCAGGTTCTTTCCAGTGGTGCCCAGTGTCAGGACCAGAGGCAATGGGCACAAACTGAAACACGGGAGGTTCCATATGAACATCCAGAAAAACTTTTTTACTGTGAGGGTGCCTGAGCACTGGCACAGGTTGCCCAGAGATGTGGTAGAGTCTCCATCCTTGGAGATATTCAAAAGCTGCCCTGACACAGTCCTGGGCAACTGGCTCTAGGTGGTCCTGCTGAGGGAGGGGGGTTGGTCAAGATGACCTCCAGAGGTCCCTTCCAACCTACACCACTTTGTGATTCTGTGATCCAGCAGGTCATTTCTTATGACAACAGTGGCAAACTAGTGGAGAAACAGCCTTCTAACCTGTCATTTCCTAGGCCTGCTGACTGTACAAAAACATGTTAAGCTACCTCTTAAAAGAAAAAAGAACAGAGCCCAGCGGTTTTGCTTCTGAACACTAACACTCCATGTAATTACACATGTTGACAAAGTCTGCAGTATTTATCCTGATATAAGAAAAATTCCTCCATTGATAATAAGCCTGAAGCTTGAATTTGAAAGAAAAAAACAATTTAGTCTTTGGCGCATCTCAGTTACATCTTTTTATGAAGAATCACCAGAGATATGCCAGAACAGTAGTAAAACATTCTATTTGTTTTTTTAGGCTATTTTTTAACTTTTTATTTATCAATTGCTTTACTGAACGGAATTAGGTGTACACATCACTGAACTTCAGGCAATTGTTTTAAACACTGGGTAACAAAAGGACTAAAAAATTATTGAGAGTATCTTTTTTCATTGATTCCTTCTTGACAGAAATCAAGTTAACATAAGTAAACAAGTGCTTAAAATTGACGGCAGGCTTTTGCTGAAGTTAGCGTTGTTTGAATGCCTAGGGATAGAAAAACTGTTAAAGAGTTTTTAATGCAACTAAATACTAACCCATAACATACAGAGTAAATTACTGCATAGTAACTTAAGAATGGTAACTGTGCCCCATGTTTATGTATTGCAACAGCAGAATACAGATTATGTTATTTTGTATTAAGGATCATCATATATTAAAAGCATATCTTTGCTCATCACAGATACTACAGAAGGAAAACAAAGATATTACATGCGTTAAAAGAAACAATTTTTGACAAGATCTTGTCACATGCTATGGTAACATGGAAATATTAAAACCTGAAATATAAGAATTAGATATACCCTGGTAAATTCAGAGACAGAACTGTCACATTAAGGTAAGCTCTGACACTTGAACATGAAATTTCATCGTACCTTGTGTATTACAAACTGAAATGACAGTTCCACATACAATTTAAGATTCCCTGACGTCTTTTGTTATAAAAGCATTGATGTTTATGCATATAAGGTCACCATTTCCTGTGTAGGCAGAAATTTTCTATTCCAGGTGCTTGCCTCAGATGACATCTTCACAATGTGTCAATAAAAACAGTTCAGCTCTTTTCAAGAAAGTGGTTGCAGAAATATTATTTGCTCACACGAAAAAAAAATATTTCAGCCACCTTATCCAGAAGCTTTAGTAATTTCAGGCTTTGGTGCAAGGAATCTGAAATTTGTTTGGAAGTGCCGCAGTGGAGACAGAGCAGAGAGAAGTGGGGCCACTTCTTGTTGAGGACATGGCTTTTGTTGATCCCAGAAAACATTTCTAGAAGGAAGTATATACTAAGTTTACAAATCTCTGCCCTATTTCCACAACCTGCAACTACAAAAAAAGCGATATATTAATGGCCAAGATGTATACAGATGGTTTCCCTTCCAACACGACTTTAGAGAACTTTGAGATAACCACTGAATTTGCTTACTCTAACTGAATCTTACAAGCAAAGCATTTTATTGGAATTACTTCCTCCTCTAGGTAATGTTGTTCTGTCCAATGAATACTGTGTCAAACTATCCAAACCGTCATTGGATACTGACAGATCCTATTTTAAAAAGGGACAGTCATGACTGCAATAGAAACCTTAAATACAGTTCACCAAAATGTGCATAATCAACATTTACTGTAACTTTGCATTGCATCCCACTAATCCTCTCAAACACTTCCTCAGTTGCTGCCTGGCCTTCTGTGCTACTTTGGCTGGGACAGAGTTAATTTTCTTCATAGTAGCTAGTATGGGGCTATGTTTTGGATTTGTGCTGGAAACAGTGTTGATAATACAGGGATGTTTTCATTGTCGCTGAGCAGTGCTGACACAGAGTCAAGGCCTTTTCTGCTTCTCACACCACCCCGCCAGCAAGTAGGCTGGGGGTGCACAAGAAGCTGGGGGGGGACACAGCCAGGACAGCTGACCCCAACTGACCAAAGGGATATTCCACACCACATGACATCATGGCCAGCATATAAAGCTGGGGGAAGAAGAAGGAGGAAGGGGGGGATGTTCAGAGTGATGGCGTTTTGTCTTCCCAAGTAACCGTTACGTGTGATGGAGCCCTGCTGTCCTGGAGATGGCTGAACAGCTGCCTGTGGATGGGTGGGAGGGAGTGAATTCCTTGTTTTGCTTTCCTTGCTTGCACAGCTTTTGCTTTGCCTATTAAACTGTCTTTATCTCAATCCACAAGTTCTCACTCTTCTCCTTCTGATTCTCTCCCCCATCCCACTGGGGGGAGTGAGCGAGCAGCTGTGTGGTGCTTAGTGTGGCTGGGGTTAAACCATGACACTTTCTCACTGATTTCATATCCCACTATCTCCTCACTAGTCATCTGCTGGGATTTTTTCCCTTAAATGTAAGACAATTAACTACTACTCAACAATTAGGTCATCTTCCCCTTTTATTCCACATATTGTCCACTGGATTAGGACAATAGTGCAGCAACATGGTTAGCGGGATCACAGAATAGGTCCAGCTGAAAAATAGCTCAGAAAAACAAAATGCAAAAACATTTTAATAGTCTTTTCAGCCTTATCAGTTTCCTGACCAGCTTCACCGACATGCAGATAAAGGGCAGTACTGGCACAACTAAGAAGGAAAATTGCTTACCAGACTGCTGGAAGAAAAAAACAAAACCAAAAAACCCCAAAAAACCCCCCCACCAAACCAAACCACCAACCTGGACAAATTACATCTTTTGCTTCCCCATTTTAATGAAGTAGAAATCTCAGGTCAGTTATATGTGACATGCAATGTACTTAAGTAAAACAAAAAATGGTGAATACCACAGTGCTTCTCCTTCCTATTAATTTTCAATCTGTAATTGAAATGCTATATTTTTTTCCGGGCTCAATGCTCAGCAATACTTCAGACTTCATTAAACCATTTTAGAAGTTTAACATTCCTACTAACTGATTCAGGAACTGCTTCAAGTTTGCCGAATTTCCTAAAAATAGTATAAATACTATTAGGCTAGAAAAGTGGAACAGCTGGAAGTCAGAAGAAAGCCTCAAAAGCTATATAAATACCTCTGTCCTGTGCCTCTCTGAGTATGCCTACCTTTCGGCTTGTTTTAACTCTAATGTGATAGCTTACACAGTAGTAGTTAAGCACGTGAGCTAACAGAACACATACAGTGTATTTTAAACTCAACTCCATAAGGCTTAAATACAGACACAGTGGGAGAAAACAGTGTGCAACCTAGGGATTATAGAAAAGGTCTCTTCATTTTTTTTTCTTTATAATTTCCTCATCTTTCACAATCTGAATTAAAGGGTATTACCATGCCACCCACTATCTGAACTACAGCGGAATACAAAAGTCAAATGAACCTCAAGACAAACATAAAAAAGCCTCCAGAGTGAGCATTTCACTGGACAATACACTTAAGAAGCCAGTACATTTGAATTAACACACTACACATACAAACTTCAAGTGTAAAAGTAGCGTGCTAGTATATTAACCTCTCTAACATTTACATGTATTACTTAATGGTTTGTAACAAATACTTACTGATATATGGAACCATGCCAGGATCCAGCGTTGTGATCATGGTCTCCACTGAATGTTTGGTTTTATCAAGAACAGACTTCACCATGGGATTCTCAGCTACACCCTAAGTTTAAGCAAATAGATGTCCATATTATCTTCTGTTTTATTCACGAGAAACTCAAAATGTTACAGCTAAAAACCAGACAAACAAAGAACAAATATTAAGCTGCTTTGTGTTTTTCTTACCACATTTATGCTTTGTAACACCTGTTGTATCTCACTCCTCAGCACAAACGCTACAGGATATGACTATCAGTGCATAACTCTTCAGTTACAACATAAAGTTCAAATATCATCTTCACCATCCTCTTCTGCATTAATGCAGAAACAGCCCCATCAGTGATAGCAGGCAACACACTTGATCTAGTGCTATTCTGGGACCAGAAGCCGTGAGCATTTAGCAAAGCTGCAGATTCCCAATGCTAATTACAGGTATCATCAGACTAGGTAGCTAGATTTAGACCATGATGACTCAAGCTGAAGAGTCTCTCTTTTCTAACCTTCTTAAAGACAATAGGATCTATTTTTCAATGGCCCATTACTAACACGTATTTCTAGAGCAATTGAGCTGAAAGTCCTCAATTTATAGATTCTAAACATGGCTGGAGAATGTAGACATTTCTCCAGCAAAATCATAGGTGGAGCTGCTGACAGACCTAAAAGTTCATTAAACACAAACACTGTCCTGTGTCTTGCAAATAGTCTTGATGTACTTAAGACTTAATGAGTCTGTCTCTTGTCAAAAGTTTATTGAAATTCAGATAAGATCACAGGGTGAAAGAAGAAAGATACCAATGCTGAATCATTGAAAGCAAATAAAGATAAAGCACTGGAAACTATTTTACAGAAACCTTTTATAAAATTTCTTTAGTAAACAGACTGCTTTCAGTCTAATATTAAAACTGCATATGCTTCTATTTGTTTCACTAAATGACAAGAATTACACAGGACAGCACTGTGCACATACTTTTTTCCGGAAAGTGCTTGCTTAATACACCTACACAGTATTTCAGAGAACTGCAGAATCAGAGTAGTTTCAATTATCTCAGAATAACTTTTGCTCAGCAAAGCTTCTTTCCCATAAATCATAGAATGGTTTGGGTTGGAAGGGACCTTAAAGATCACCTAGTTCCAAACCCTCTGCCACGTACAGGGACACCTTCCACTAGATCAGGTTGCTCAAAGCGCCATCTGACCTTTGAATGCTTTCTGTTTCTTTGCAGCAAGCTTAACAAAGGAAAAAACAACCTACACTTCTACAACTACTGAGATATTGTATAGCTACTAATAATGACTATCTTAACCCATGCCTCATGCTGAAATAGTTCACTGCTTGCTTCAGGTACTCTTCTCACCACTGTGCAGAACACTAAGCCTGACTGTAGAATTTGGTAAAGACGACAAAACAATTACTCACTTTAGCACAATTAAGCTTTTTCAAGCCAGAGCCCACTGTCTTGTTTCTCACGAGTATTAACACAAGACTTTTCTGAATGGCAGCATTCACTGATTAATACATATACTCTTGTGACTACTCATGTAGCCACAGGATGCCATTAAGGACTGGGAAGTTTATATTCCTCCTTCAGCTCTGTTACAATTTGAAGTTCGTCTGTTGTTTTAACAAAAACTGAGTGAATGCTATGAGATCCTCGGAAACATTTTAAGTAGGAATTCCCAGTTCTAGCATCTTTCCAGTAATGCAAAGCCAAGCAGTACTTCTCCAATCAGCAGCCTGGCTGTCTAACTAACACAAAGTCATTATACATCTCCTGCAGATAATCAGGTTCCTGAGCAGCAAGAAGCTGCTGCTTCTACCTGTGGAAGATGCCTTTATGTTCATCAGCCTAGCACAAGCAGGGAGAAATAATCCATAGTTTTATACCAATGCAAAACATGAAGTTATCACAACACTGTGAACCATAATGCAGTTAAGTTTGGAATTTCTACCGAGTCAATTCTAAGTCAACATAAATCCAAATTGCTCAAATGGAGAATATTCCACGTCGGCAGAGCGTAAACACAAATCTTCTGAAAATTCAGGTCCTGGCTGTCTTCATTGCTCAAACAGTCAAATATGCAAGCTGTCAGGTGCAATGACTGCAATAGTATCCAACTTTGCCTCTGATATATTATGTAGAAATCGATCTTGGAACTGCTCTGAGACTGCTCAGCCATCTTTGACAAATCAAAGGAACTGAAACAGTCTCATTCAATTCTAGGCCATTAATTTGACAATTTTGGATTGTCACAGTCTTGGATATTATCTAGCTTGAAAGAAATCTGTAAGAAAGTTGTATGATTTCGTAAGAACACCAGAGGAAAAAGAGTAGTTCAAATTACTTCAAGAACAGAAATAATTGCTTCAACTACTGTGTAAGCTCTTCAGTGGGGAATCCAGGATGCATTTCTGTAATAATTACCAGTTAGTCTCCCAGATTCTGGCTGATCTTTAAAAAACAGTCTAATGTGTGCTTACACACATCAAGAACTTGATGGCTTCAGTATAATTAATGATTCCTTATTCTTCTACCTAGGAAATTCTCAAAAAGAGGTCACTGAACACACACAGCACACGGAATGCTTAATACTTCAACCAAAATCTAGATTTTATTATTGAAGTCAGTGATACAGACCTACTCCGAAAACAGAAATAGGATACCTCTTGGATCCTACTGGTATAAAGGCACCACTAATGTGGAAGAGATTGCCTTTTCAACTAATTTGCAATTGCAAGCTCTGGTACTTCCAGATGGAGGATTAATCTTGCTCTTTAAGACTGTATCACTGTCAAGATGTGTATTCCTGGAGTTAGGGAGGGCTCAGTCTGCCATGTCACATGCAACTTTTTCTCCCAGCTTTTCATGTTCAAAAGGGCTTGAAAGTCCCTCCAAAACTCTGCAATTCCATTGGGACATCAATCTTCTTGATTCTTCCTTCACATTTAGTATGAGACAGTACAGAAAACGGTGTTGAAGACAGTTCAGCGTTCACGCAGTCCTTAGACCTTTTTGCCACAGTCTTCATGATGTTACTTATATGTAGCATTTGTCACAGCTCCAAAAAGGTTACAGGCTAATGAAATTCTGCTAGTTGATGTTGCTGCTTATTTGCTCTGTATAATTAGATCGCACCACAAGGAGTATCTGTTCTGCACTATATACTCCATGTTTTCTAGCAGAATAGAAAAATCCTACAAAATATCTTAGACACTTCTTAGGTAAACTGTTCTTTGGTGGAAGAAATACGTATTTGTCTCTCCTTGAAGAGACTTGTTTGTTACAGAACAGGAAAGACTCGCATCCCATAGAAATCAAAATCAGTTCATTAGGAAATGATAAAGAAACAGGATATGCAAAGAATTCTGGTGAGGTAAAACAGACTATCTTCTTCTGCATCCAGTCGCTGTGAAGTAAAAATTAGCTTTGTGGTCTTAAAGAGGTTCTAAAGCTTCACCTGATTTAAGAACATGTGACAGAACCTGTTAGGTATGCATATCTTCCTGTCACAAGCACTATAAGCAATATAGGACACCTGCATTTGTGTAGTCCTCCCTCTTCTATACAGAGGAAGAGCAAAAGCATAGTTTCAGCAAACCCCACTATTAAAAACAGCCACCTTGCACATGAGGCCAGAGAAAAGACAGGATTTATAGCAACATGCATTTAAAAAATAAGATATGTCTTACCATAGTCAGTAAAAAATGGGAATTCCTCGTGAAGGGTAACAGACAAAACACCATACCTTTATAAACCCCCACAGCCCTCCAGCAGGTGCTCCACCTTGGGCAGTCGATACTCTGGGGTCTTCATGCTCCTCAGGAAAAGTGATTGCAGAACCAGTTCCAGGAGCCAAAGGTGATGAAAAAGTTGCTTGTTGAGTAATAGGATCTGCCAAAACACCTAATAAGAGAGAAAAATAAAACACAAGTGTTAATTTATTTTACTGCATTTAATTTGTTATACTGTAGCAACATGCAATTGTTTAACAGGAAAATGAGCAGGAAGAATAGGAGAATACTGGGCTGATTCACTTCAGTTCTTGAAGGCCCCAGAACAATTATTCTTGTTAAAGGTTAGCAGATGTAACTACTGCAAATGCGTTCAACAATATCTGCTAATAGAACTGAGACTGCCTGTACATTATGTATAAAATTAAACAATGATTTTTTCTTAGCAGCTTAGTTTGACAGTGGTGCTTTTTATTGTATTCAAATTTTCATAATAAGCCCTCAGTAGAGGAAAAAGAGGAATGGGTGTTGCTCTCTGAACAAAGAGATAGGAATGTTCTCATACATAAGAAGAGAGAAGTAGGAAATTTTCTAACCCTGAGTGCTGGAAATTAATAGCAACAGAAAAAGGAGCAAGCAAATGAATAGCTTTACATTTTTTAAAGGAAAACAAAAGCAACTCAAATAGAAAATTTAAGCATGAGCCTTTGCCCCACTACTCAAGCCTATTTTAACAGACTTTCCAACACTAGCCTTAATGAAGAGTTATTTTTATTTTACACTGCACAATTGATAGGTCTTTTTAGACATTTTCCTAATACAGACTACTTAAAAGAGATATCACCAATAATAGTAAAAGCCTGGCCCAATTGCAGTTGAAGAGCCAAGTTTCCATTCCACTAGCAGAAAATGACATCAGTTCAGCAACTACAGCAATTGCTTGCATGGAAGGTATGTATTTTTAGCTGTCCTAATGCAATTTAGTAGCTGGAAACAAGAAAATAGAAGCTGGTGTCATGTGATGGACAGCTTGTTATAGATAGCTTTTCAGAACAAAAACCTGAAAGTTATGAGATTACAGCCTGAGATATCATATCATTCTGTGGAAATACAATGGCTGACACTGACTCTCTGAGCCAAACAAAAGACATGGATATATGTTCAGCTGGGCTTTCCTGTGCAAACTAGCAAAAAACAAAGCTCTCAAACAAAGATTTTTCTGTGAGCCTGAATGCTAGCAGAACTTTACTAAAGAGGACTCTCTGTCCTAGACCATGACTGCATTTTAAAGGCTACTCTCACTTCTTCTGAATGCAGCTACATTAATGAAGTGTACCCGGAATAACAAAGAAGCTGAACTTGCAGGACTCTAGCAAAGTGGTGGAAAAAGCCACCCAGGAAATCCCTCAATCTGTCTCACAAACGTGAAAGCATATAAACAAAGTTACCTGTGACTGAAGGTGCAGAAAATGATGGCATCAATGGGCTCTGTGGTGCTCGACCAGCATGACCTCTGGTAATGTCATAGGTTGAAGACACAGAAAATCCTGAAATGGGGGGACCAGTGGGAGGTGCAGGAAGACCAGGGCCAGTAGCAGAGCTTAATGGAGGAGGTGTAGAGAACTGGGACATGGAGGTACTAAAAGCTGAAGGGGCAACAGGAGGTGGGGCAGGAGTTAGAGGTGGTGCAATAGTAGAAACCGTTGCAGAAGGCACAAGTGGAAGAGAAGCTGAAGTCATCATAGGAGGAGGAAGTGGAGACACCCCAGCTGGCAAGGGAGGCGAGTATGCAGGAGATGACGACATGCTTGGGGTAGCAAGGGGACTGGACAAAGCTAGGAAAAAAGAGAAAAAAGGAATTTTAGAAATGCTGAGCCTTAATCTCAGAGATTCAGTTATATATTGTTCAGATATTTTACAAGTAAGTTTTGACCTGGTCTGCTTTTTTCCCTTCAAAGTGAATTTTAGTTCTGCTTGAGTTTGCGTACAACACCAATTGCACTCAATTTTTGGTGATAGTCTCTTGTAAGCCACATCTTTTTCTTGCATGACTTGTCATAAGCTTAAACAGATGAGTCAACATTTGACTACTGAATTTACAGCAGATGAAGTCTGCCTCAGAAATTTCTAGCTAGTATTGTTCTTTCTGAATGACTGCTTAATCAACAGGAATAATGATGATGCAGGAAGTGCCCATCTTTAAGAATAAAACGTACACTCACAATATCTGGGAGGGTGGGAGTTACTTCAGAGGCATGGTTCTATGAGATGGGCTGAGCACCAGGCAGCCCTCTGTTCCCTGGCACCCAGCCTCCTAATCCCTCTGCTTTCTCTGTTTCAGTCTGGCCCTCTGCTGATCATTAGATAAGCCAATTTTGCTCTCTAAACCAAGTTTAGCCAGAAAATTAAGTCAGAAAAAACAAAAATGACCATTCTTGATAGCAGTAAGCTGTTGGATCAGCTCAAGCATCTCACTGGCCTCAGCCTAAACATCAATGACAGTCAAATGATATGCCAAGTTGCACTAATGCAGTAGTCTCCAAACTTTATCACGCACACCTATCAGTAAAAAATTTTTGAGCATGCACCCCCCCAACATATGTAAATTTATATTATTTCTATGTACCACTGTACTAGTATATTATAAAACATACACAATAGAATTTTTAAAAGGATGAGATAAAGTTGAATGAAAAAACTAAAAATATTTTTTATTTATTAACAGTACAAAAACTTTTCTGCTCCCACTGAAATTGTTTTATTAATACACTACTAATATAATAATATAGTATGTTAATAATGGTTAACATACTATATAGTATGTTAATAATGGTTAACATACTATATAATACAATTATTAATAATAACTTTTTAGTGTGAGCAATGTGATTGAAGAAGCCTCATTATTTTGTAAAATCTTGGTTTAACACCTCATGATACAGCAAATTGAAGGTCTGGTTGTATGTTCAGATTATTTTGATACTTGGCTTTAACGGCTGTCATAGCTGGAAAAGATACCTCACAAAGATACATAGATCCAAATGGAAGAAGTGCATGGTTGGCTGTGCTTACTAAACCATGCTATTCGTTTTCTACTCCCACCCACCAATTATGCAAAGGTTTTTCTTGAAATTCAGCTAACAAATTTCCATCTTCCCTGATGTCAATCAATTGTTCTTGCAAACTAATCAGAAGGTGTTGCACTTCGGTATTTTTAACAAATGGGTTCAAAACCCACTGAAACTCTGTGTCTGGAAGATTTTTACACAGGTCAGGACATTTTCTTTGTAAGTTTGTGTAGAGATCTGACGGTTTTTATATGTGACACTCACATTATTTTTGGCAACAGATTGCATAACGATGGAAACACTTCCAAATATGAATTTTCAAAATGCTCTCTCCAAAGCATGACTTTCTTACAAAAAGTAGTTACTGTATCACTCCTTGTTAAAACATCACCTTTACCCTGAAGGAACAAATTATGAGTGCATATGTTTTTGAAAATATCTACTAGGTAGCACACTGCTGACAGCCACTTGTCATTACAGAAAACGTCAGCAAATCCGGGAGACTTGTGTTTTTGTAAATGAAAAATGTTCATGTCATCAACAACTGTTTTAAACACTTTGCCACATGACAACCAGCAAACCTCTGGTTTTGAAATTACAAGAAAATTTCATGGTCACTACCTATCTCATTACAAAGTATTGTTAAAAGATCTACTATTCAAAGATCACTTTTATAAAATTGACCACACTGATGACATGATGTAGCACTTTGTGCACTTTTGGCTCCACTTTCCTTGCTGCAATAGCTTGCCTATGAATGAGGCAGTGAATAAATTTCATGTGTGGTGAAATCTGTGTGACCTTATTCCAGAATCCATTTTTATCCTAGTCAAAGCAACTGCTCCATCAGTGGTTACACTTACTGAGTTTTAATAAAAACAATGCTTTAATAAAAGAAGTCATTTACTGTTGAGGATATATCTTCTCCAGCACATCCCTCCTTTAGCATTTGATAATAAAGTAGTTCTTTGTGTATTTTATTATTGAAACAGAATTTAGCAAAAACCGTAAGCTGAGACATGTTAGGAACATCTGTGCTTTCAGGCAACTGTATAGCAAGCCTCCCACACTGTGTAACTGGTTCTAATAATTGTTTCTTCAAATCTTCAGCAATGTTTTCTCTGCATCTTCCAACAGTATTTGCTGACCAATCCATTTCAGTTTGTCACCATATTGTTTTCCATGTATTATTTCAGACATTTTTACCATGTCAGGAAGAACAAGTGTCTCCCCGATGTACATAGCTTTTTTTATCTCCACTATTAGGTAAGAAGTCTCCAAAGAGGCTTCTAAAGATTTATCATTAAGTTTACTGAAATTTTTTAAGTACTGGATTGAGTACTGCATGATTTGAAACATTACCAAAAGAAGTTGTAGAGGTTTGTTTTCATGTTCAGCTTAGGTTTTAGATGTCTTGCTAATCATAGTGGCTTCATACTATCCTTAGCTAATATCTCAAGGCACAGTACACACTTGGGGCAAGGTTCGTTGTTAACCGCTGCAGATGTAAATTTATATTTCAAATAGTCCTCTTGAAAATTTTGAATATTTTTGGCTGACTTCTTGTCAGATCTGATTAGACTTTTAGCCATGTTATGAGATAAAAACAATGGCAAAGAGTCATTTGGAGTGACTGATTCATAGTCACTCATACTAGGAGTCAGAGAAGTGTCATCTCTTCCATTTTCTTGTGGTTTGCTTGTGCTCATATTATTAGCAGTATTTTCAATCCATGGTCTCTTTGCAGGAATCTTTAAGTCACTTGTCCATTTTGTGAGGGTTAGTATAGTTAAAACTAGGTAACATAATCCATAAATCCACTTAAGCAGGCACACAAACCACAAGGTGTCACAATATGATGTAAGTGAGCAAACGAGTGAGGGTGCCCCTGTCAATCCCTTTGCATCATGGAACACCCACTCTTCCCTCACGACATGTGAATGTCCGATGTATAGACCAACTGAGCAAGGACCCAGTGTCAAACAGTATATTAAATATTAGTAAAGCTTAAATTATTTTTTAGATAAAAATAATTATTAATGGAAGTTCTAATATTTTCTTCCCGCACCCCAATGGATTGTCTTGCACACCCCCTGGGGTAAGGGCATCCCACTTTGCACCACCAGTCGCACTGCACTGGTGCAACTCAAGATAACAATACGGATGTGTCAGAAAATTAAATATTTGGTATTTAGAATATGGTGTTCAGATTCTTGAAAAAAATCAATAAAGTGCTTTATTACCACCCACAATATTAAAAACCAAGTTATTACCCAGGTTTACCACTATCCCCTGCAAGATTAAATTTGTTTGGTTTTTAACTCCCTTCTATGCTGCTCACCTAACTGTGCACTGTAGTGGAAGGTACTATTTCGCTGGCCCCACAACCTTAAAACACACAAGTGCATCCACATGACTTCATAAAAAAATTTCAAGAATAAAAAAATATTTAAAATATTCTGGGTATCAGATGCATGTCAGATGAGAAGCACACTTCCACAATTAAGATACAATTTAAATTCTTCCAATTAGTCTGGAGAAGAGCACTGTAATTATGCTGATTGCAACATTTTTGGATTAATTGCTGTGCTTCAAAAGACATGAATAAACATGACCAAGTTGCTGAGGAAGTTTCTGTACCTAATGAGACAGGTGTAGCAGCAGCAGCCGCCCCTGCTGTGCTTGGTGGGGGCGTGCCAGGTGGAGTTGTCTCTATTCCACTCTCTTCCATCATTTTCCTTCAGCCTCGAAAAGCTGGGGGGGGGGGGGGGAAGCGTATCTTGAGAAACAAGGGAAAAAGATTTTAAATTAGAATGTGAAGGCCACAACAGTGATTTACGTTCCTGAACAGAGCAAGTAATTCAAATGCCAACTCTAGAAAAAAGAAAAAAATTGATCTCAAGTACATAACTATCCAGTATGTCTCATTTCTCCTGTATCTTCCCTTTATTTTTAGCAGTGTGATAATACCTCAAACTTCAAGCCTCTTTCTAAAAACCTTACTGTGCATGCCCAGTTACTGCTTCCAATATATACTGGTGGTACTTAGATGAGTAATAATAGAGAAGTAATTACACATCACAAAACACATAACCCATTGCAAGAAAAACTTAACTTCGGGGTAGTATTTTGCTGCATTATTCATCTGTAGTAACTCAAATAAGGACCTGTTCTCTACAGAACTGATGCATGACAGGATGCAAAACACAGCAAGAGGCAAGACAGAAGACCAAAGTCTCCCCATTCTGGCAGTGAAGAACCACGACTACCCAAGAAGTTGTAGCCCTCTCAGGCTTAAGCACTTCCGCAGGTGCTCCTGAGCATCACACCTGAGTGCAAGCACCTTGCTGAACACCATGAACAGTGGCATAGCTGGCAATGGCCCAGGCGTCCTGACTCTGTGACCTAAGCTCTAGCCATGACCTTGTCTACCTTAAAGCAGAAGCATTTTGGGGTCAGCTAATAAACCTCCAGAAAAGCCAAATGAAACCAGCTGAAATTCACTTCCAGCATGAATAAAATTACATTGAAATTAATTTACGCTGAAGAAGTTTTCCAGTACAGACAATTCCTGTAAAATCCAAATACCACACTGCTCTGGTGACATCATAAGAAGTGAAAGCAATTGAGAACTTTGGCTTTCATTTTGAAGGCCAGATTACGTTAGAAGTATCTTTTAACACCTCTAAGTAAACCTTTAAAGTATACTACTTCCAGACAAGTAAAGCTATGTGCTTATTTAAAAACCTTAAATTAATGTAAAAGGGCTTAGGAGAAGAAAAGGAGAGGGGAAAAAATTAAGACTTTCATGAACACCTGGAGATTTTTGTTCTTCAGTGCAGAGACAGCTAACAAAAAACCCTGCTTCCTCCCAACTCTGGTAAACTAGACAACAACAATTTGTACCACTCCCTGAGGTAACAATTCTTAAGGAAATTTTAATGAAATAAAAATCCTATATAAAGTAATTATATGTACAAAAAATACAGACTCAAACATTTTCCACCATATCTATTACATCAGCAGCTACTGAGGACTGCCAGCTTACTCCCTTTAACAATTTACAAAGGAAAAGGCTTAGATAATGTGTTGAGTAAAAATACCTATGTGTATATAAAAGGAACTCCACTTACAAAAATACAGGGGTTTTCCTCTCTTTCAAAAAAACCAAACCCCTCAGTGCCTCATTGTTGTTTTAAATGTATATACAACTCTTAAGTTTAATATGGAGGAAAAATTACTGCTATTACCAAATTGAAAAATCACAAGTAGGATGTCAATGTCAGTCTTGACAGGCTTACAAAGAGTCTCAAAAACAAATGAAAGCATCAAAATCACATAGGAGAAGTTGTAGTCCCTCTGACAAACCAGTATGCTTTGCATAAGTGATTCAAGATTAAACGTTTGAGCCCAGCCTCAGAAAGCAAGTAAATGTGGTTTATGTGCAGCACTCTTCATGAAAACTCTCATGACAGAGGGATTTTAGGTTCTGAGTACCTCTTCAATTCATTTAAAAGCTTCTTTTCACTTGGGATGAAAGGATCAGTAATTGCCTGGTGGGGAACTGACTGTCCTTGCAGAACAAGTACATCTCATCATCCCTTAGAAAGGAACTGCACAGTCTTCCATTAAACTTCACTAAGTGGAAGAATCTGCAATAAGATTTTGTCTTTTAATCAAGCTACAGAAGTTTACATTCCCCCTCATAGAACTGTTTCTAAAGTCATTCTTCTTCCAATTATACACTGCAAAGCAAGAAAGAATTTTCCATTGAGCAACCAAAGTTCCATTGACCAAAACCTCCTAGAAACATTTTATTTTATCAAGGCTCTTTTAATCTGCTGCTTGATTTCACCTAATGTCATGATTAAAAACTGCTGAGAGGTGCTTACTACTTAAAATAAATACTGCAGCCGTGTAGAATGACTGAAAAAGTTCCACAGAGCAGCTTTTCAAAAACTCCATACAAACCTTTTTCAAACCTTCACAGAGCTATTAAAGGGGGAGGGGGAACCAACACCCTGAAAAGTAACCTAACTGACATCTGGAAAGTGAGGAATTAGTAGAAGTGTAAATAACTCTGTAGTTGCTTTTCTCTATTAACTTTACAATGAGAAAAGTGAAGCAAGCATTAAACAGAAAGAACAAACCCAAACTTGCAAAAATTATGAGTTGGTTGCTGAAATACAATGATTAAAAACTCCATGGAACTGACTTAAAATTTGAATTTAAAAAAGCAAAAATCAGTAGTTTCACATTTTCTCCTCTCACTTGTAAGCCTCTCTGGGAAAGCCAACCATCTGCAAATCCAGCCTGGCCACGAGATGGAAGCTTGAGAGAGGAATCCTGCCAGTTGTAGGGCTTATTTCCATTCCCTTGGACTTTGCAGGTCCAGGTACACACCCCTAGGCAATGTGTCCCAGTAAGCTGGATACCCTTGGAGTGATTGCCCAGTCAGAAGCGCAGTGCACTCTCCCTTCTGTTCTGGCTTAAATTTTATCCTTTGACTCTAATA